GCGTTTGGAGGGGTGTGCACGTCTGGCGACAGAGTGGCTTTGACCTGACGAGGCTCCCGTTCTCAAGGGAAAGGGGGTGCGCCTCTTTGTGGGGGTCCTCTCCCTCCGTGTAATCCGTGCAGGCTTTGAACGAGAAAGGGCAGCGGGAGGAGAAAGAGAGAGAGAGACTGGGATGCCCTGCTGATCGTCCAAGTTGGTTCTTGTCGCGAATCTAACTTGCTGTCTGCTTTGTGTCTCTCCCCGCCCCACACCCCTCTCCCAGCGGTCATTTAAAGGCTATCGTGTGTTCATCTGTCTCGCTGTGTGTTTCCCTCTAGTAAGGCCTGGCAGGAAAGGACGGCGGCAGGCGTTTAGTATCTCGGAGGCTGACGGTGGACACTGGGTTTAAGCGTTCCGGCTGCAGCAGCATCCACCCTTTCCAGACCCCTCCAGGCAGGTCTCTCCATGCACATGTCGTTTGGTCCTCCCCCCCCCCCGCCCCCTACCCCAGATGTCAAGCGAGCATCACCCCCATGTTCTCCCGTGCCCGCAGAAACTAGTAACCAGCATGGCAGGCCTTATCCCTTGGGGTGGTGCCTCTTCTGAGAAATTTCAACTCCGCTCATGATAGAACCGAGGGTGGGTAGGCTGTGCAGGGGGCCCCCAAAGAAGTCTCCCATCCACGTGCGGTCTCCAGAAACTGCTTAGCTTGGGCGAGGGGGCTGGGCTGTGGAGCCCCCTGGCACCCCATGGGGAGGAAGACTCAACTGCAGGCAGGCTCAGTGCACAAGTAGGCCGGCCCTCTTCCTCTGGGCCGTTCCCAGCTTCTCTGTTCACCTCTCCCGCTGAAAGCAGTCACGGCTCTTCCTCCTCGTGGAAGTCCCCCAGTCCCTTCGCACGTCATGCAGCAGCAGACGGAGCTCCGCACACGGCACAGAGGTCTGATTTCGCCTGCACGGAAGCTTCTTTTGCAGCGGCAGACGGAGCTCCGCACACGGTACAGAGTTCTGGTTTCGCCTGCACGGAAGCTTCTTTCTGCGACGCAGGGGGTAGTGAGGAGCAAGAGAGACACGCACCACGGTGCTTCCAGGGGAAGGGGAAATCCCACCCTGCTGTTGTTCCCCCCTCTCTTGTGCTGCCTCCACTTCCATATTCCCTTTCTCGGGTCTCCCCTCTGTTGTGGTTTTGTTGTCTCTGCGTTTCTTCCTTGCATGCTTACCTGTCCGCTGTCTTCCCTGCCTTTGCGGTCTGTTTGCCTGCCCTGTCCGGCTTTCCCTCCCTCCGTGCCCAGGATGGCGAGAAGCAGGCTCTGCCATCTGGGCTTCCGCAGAGACCCAGCATGGCACCTGAATTCCGTTGTTATTCCTTCGCACAACGTCCGCACAAGCTCAGATGTGGCCATTACAAGGCGGGAGGGAGGACTCTCTCTGAAATATTTGTATTTTCCTGCATCCCTGGGGTTTCCAGAAACATTCTTTAGCCTTGCTTTCGCCTGTCTCTCACAGGGATGCCAGCCTCCAGGTGGGTAGAAAGGAAACAGACAACCATGATGTATTGTGCCGAAAAAAGTCATCACACAGACTTGAAAATTCTTTTCCCAGAATTCAGTTTACTTGAAGAACGAACCATGTGTATTCTATCTCATTCCATGTATAACTTTATCAAAGTGGGTGGCGTTGAAATACCTATATAGTATTAATCCATTTGGCAACCACTCTAGTCATATCTCCTAGTACTTGAAGAACGAACCATGCGTATTCTATCTCGTTTTATGTATAAGTTTATCGAAGTGGGTGGCGTTGAAATACCTATATAATATTAATCCATTTGGTAATAACTCTAGTCATATCTCCTAGTACTTGAAGAACGAACCATGCGTATTCTATCTCGTTTTATGTATAAGTTTATCGAAGTGGGTGGCGTTGAAATACCTATATATTATTAATCCATTTGGTAATAACTCTAGTCATATCTCCTAGTACTTGAAGAACGAACCATGCGTATTCTATCTCGTTTTATGTATAAGTTTATCGAAGTGGGTGGCGTTGAAATACCTATATAATATTAATCCATTTTGGCAACCACTCTAGTCATATCTCCTAGTAACAGTCATCAACGCCATCCACTTTGATAAAGTTATACACGAAACGAGATAGAATATGCACGGTTCGTTCTTCAAGTAAACCGAATTCTGGAAAACGAATTTTCAAGTCTGTGAAGACTTTTTGGGGGTGCAGATACATCACGGTTGTTTGTTTCCTTTTCTACCTCCATCCCGTGCTCTCTCTCTCTTTGGTTTGCAGCCTCCAGGTGGGGCCTGGGGATCCCCCCGGAATTACAGCTCATCTCCAGACTATGGAGATCAGTTCTCCCGGACAAAAGGGATGCTTTGGAGGATAGAAGACTATGTGGCATCACACCTCACTGATGTCCCTGTCCTCTGCAGGCTCCATCCCCAAATCTCCAGGAGTTCGCCAATCTGGAGCTGGCAACTCTATCCCCCCAACCTCCTGCAGTGGCCAGGCAACCTTACTTATGGAATTTTTTTGCCCACCCTCAGCAGGTAGAGGTCTGGTATTACCCTTCAGGCAGCCTTTCAGATGTTTTGTTTTTCTTATTTTCTTTATCTACGTTATTTATTAGTCTACTTCCCTCACCAGGACTCCAAAGTGGATTGCACAACGTCAGTCAATGGAGTCACGGGTATGAAACATCTAATAAGCAATGTAATAAGACTAGGAATTGCAGGATTTTGTAGCTGCAAGAACAGGGTCCTGTTCTCAAACCCTCAGAACTCCCCGTTTTGGTGCAAGAGGCCTTTGAGTTAAAGCCTTTGCTTACCGTTCACAGCTGTGTTCTGTTCATAGCTTGTTGTCCTTTTAGCAGGTATTTGCTACGTGACTTGGTTGCTGGTGGGTTGTTTTTTTCCACTGAGCCGGCGATCGAGTTGTTTCTTCTCTGTATGCTTTCAAACCTGCCAAGCTGACCCACACGGCACTTTTATTTAGATATTTTTTTTAGGCGCTGCTCACCCAGAGGGTCTCGCGGTGACTCCCAACATTTAGACAACATCACAATAAAATTTAAAAACCAACAAAGATCAGGTAGTACGTATACAGTTAAGGTCTGTGACTCAGCCCCATACCATGGAGAACCAAATTGCCACTAGTCGTCATGAAGATTTGTGATCTCTTTTTGGGCGGAGGGTCTGTGTCCCTTAGAAACCAAAACTTTTAGTTCACCCAGCTTCCCCCAGTTGCTCCAGTGTGAAGAGATATAGAGGAATAATGAAGACGGTTCGTTTTTTAAAAAAGAGTATGAAACAAATCTTCCAGGAAAGCAAAATACATTCTGTCCAAGTCCCGGGCCTAGAAATGACACATTACAAGAGCCAGGTATTACTTAGCGTTGTCTCTTACCTTAGCTCATTTCCTCTGCTCAGGTCACCAAAAAAACAAAACCCTAATGTGTCGACCTGCCAGGAAATGGCCACTGCTATGTTTAATATATGAATGGCGTGACGTGGGAATACTTATTTTTAGCAGACTCCTCTCTCACTCATTCACGGATCTTCCCAGAAAGGCGACGAGTCTTTCTCCCCTCCCCGTTTCATTCATTGTTCTCAGCACTGACCGTATCGTTTTAAAGTCTCTCTAATCGAATCTGGCACAGGCAGGCGAGAGGAGCGTCACAGCAGGGAGCTTTTGGAAGGGGCCAGTTTCAATCCGCTGGATAAATTGGTCCTTCTCGCTCCCATGGGAGATGATATTCTGCGTGCAGAGAAATACCGTAACCAGATGGCACACTGAAAAGCAAAAAATTGTGGCTCCAGGGCTAGAGAACTCAGGAGCGCCAAATGAAAAAAATGGAAGGCTCGGTTACCCTGGTCCACAGGTGGCCCGATGTGGCCCCTTCTGGAAGGAGTCCCTCTGGGATTCGCGTGCACGGGTTCAGGACCCCCAGGGGGGGGGCTTAAACCCCCTGCACACCCAGTGTTGCTTTCCTGATCTGAGTTATCCCCAGTGAGCCAGCGTGGCGTAGTGGTTAAGAGCGTCAGACTAGGGCGTGGGAGGCCCAGGTTCGAATCTGTACTAGCACCACGGAAGCTTCCTGGGCGACCTTGAGCCAGTCACACAGGCCCTCAGCCTGACCTACCTCACAGGGTTCTTGTGAGGATAAAATGGAGGAGCGGAGGACGATGTGAGCCGCTTTGGTTCTCCACTGGGGAGAAAGGCGGCATTTCAGCGAACTAATAAATGTCGCCACTCGCCAGGTTGGGGGAAATGTCCATGGAATTGATGTGGGTCTCACGTGAAGAGCGCCTTTGAGGCAAAAAGGCATCCTTCTGTCTAGGAAAGATTCCTTGCGGGTATTTCTCTCTCTAGCAAGCACACACACCTCCCGTTCCTTCCGTATTCTCAATAGGGAAAATTCTCTCCCAGGAAATCTGCCTCGTTTGCACCAGCGTTAGGCCCCCAGAAGAGCCTGGAATACTGGAAGCTCCTGTTGAACAGGAGAGCCGGAGACCTCGGCCGCAAACCGTCACGCCGTCTACGGGGTTCTGACCCATTGCAGGTTCTGAAGAGCCTGCCAGATTTATTGCCCACCTGATCACCACTGGTGAACAGGACACGATCCAAACTGGCCAGCTTTCGAGCATTTCTAGTCAGTCCTGCTCCGTGGCTTACTCCATTTTGCGTTCTTCCCTTCCACTGAACTAGTTGCCCGTTCCGAGTAGCCCTGGGATCCTGTTTCGTCCTGCTGCCCACCCAGCACTGATCAGGAAAGCGCTTTTTACCTTTACCTGGGTTCGTCCCCCCCCCCTTTGTGCTTCATTTTTGGGTAACCGAGACTGAGGGCTGTGTCCGTTTGTAACCAGGTCGGAAGTCCTACTTCTAAAGTTCACTCTTGCCTACTTTGTGCTTATTGTAAAGTGTTCTGACTTGGTGCTGTTTTTAGCACGCGACGGCCAGAAGGCATATAAGTTGTTGTCTGTTCTGTTTCCACGTTCCCTTCCACAGAGGACACAGCAGCTTCGGAGCAGCCCAGGGCGCCGTCCTTCGGCCAGCTGGCGATCGCGGACGACTCTCCCGCACCTCTCTCGAGATCCGGCAAGGGCCTGGGCCGGAACACCGACGTGGAAACGGCCAACCTGTCCCCCAGCCTGATCCCCGCCCCGCAGCCCACCATCTCCCTCATCGCCACCAACAGCTCAGACTCCCTGGGCATCGAGTCGCTGACGCTGGTCCCGCCGGTCGACACGGACTGCATCCTCGCCGTCGGCTGCGCCCCGCCGCCGTCCGCGGAGTCGGACGCTTGCACAGAAGCGGAAGGGAGCAGCTCTTCTCATTCGGACGACGGGCAGCCATGACGGAGACGCAGTGCGATGGCGCTCTGCTTAACGTAGCCCGTTGAATGAACCCGTAGTAACCCCCCCACAGTCCTGTCGTCCGAGTCTCTTTTTAAAAAACGGTTGAGATCCCACGTTTTGTTTTAAGAGGAGAGAGGACCCTCTTGTAGACCTGAGACTAAGTATCGGACACTGGTGGTGACGGAAAAGGGGTGTGTGTGGGGACACAACGGTAAGGGTGTTTTGGAGGACCTGTGGGATTCGTCTCTCCACTTTCTGAGAAAAGCCACTAATGCAAAAGCCACTCGTTCGAACCGCGTTATCTGCAAAAGCCGCAACTGCGGCGAAGTTAAGGACACTTAAGAGAAAACCATACACTTTCTGTTTTGAATCAGTGGGGGGAGGCGAGGCGGGCTGCTTGCAACTTTTGCCCGGAGGAAAGACAGATGGACCCCGGATTTACAGGGAGGGGGGAGGGCCCCCTCGAAATTAGCTTTTGCACAGGAGCAAACCTTCCTTCTCTTCTACCAGCCTTTTCCTCTGTTTTGTTCCACTTCCCCAAGACCCGAGCGGTCTGTGGGAACTCCGGCCCGACCCGCTTGCTCGTATTTATCCCGCTGTGGACTTTTAGCCCTCATCCACGCGCGTCCTCCCTGTCTGCCAGGTCATTTGAACCTGAGACTGTCTGCACATCTGTTGAGGGTGGGGTTCTACGGAAGGGGTTGGGAGAGCGGGGAACGGCCCTGCTCCTCAGCGTCTCTCAGGGGCTTCTTTGGGGGAGCGTGTGGGGGAATCTTTGGCAGGGTTTTTGTGTAAAAGGATTTCAGAGGAATGTAAACTATTTTAGCGTACTATTTCTCTAGTCGTGTGGTGGAGTGTCTTTGCCGCATTCTCCCTTGGTGCCAGCCCCTTCCTAAAGGAGGGCCCCGCAACTCCCGCAGGCGTCAGAAGGGGTGTTTTATGGACCAGTAAATCCAGGATGCAGCTGAAAGAAGTAAGTCAGGTGGTCCCAACCTTTTTGAGCCTGGGGCACCTCTGGAATTCTGAGACACGGCGTTCTGGGAACGTCAACGGAATGGCGGCCTCAGGGGGCGGAGCCAGCCACAAAATGGCCACCGCAGCTTACTTTCACTCACACAGTGAATATCGTTGTTTCGTGGTGGCAGCTGCTGGCAAAGCAGCATTAAGAACACCAGAAGAGCCCTGCTGGATCAGACCAGGGAGGGTCCATCCAGTCCAGCATCCCATCTCACACAGGGGCCAGCCAGTTCCTCTGGAGGGCCAGCAACAGGGCAGAGAGGCCAAGGCCTTCCCCTCATAAGGACATCAGAAGAGCCCTGCTGGATCAGACCAGGGAGGGTCCATCCAGTCCAGCATCCCATCTCACACAGGGGCCAGCCAGTTCCTCTGGAGGGCCAGCAACAGGGCAGAGAGGCCAAGGCCTTCCCCTCATAAGGACATCAGAAGAGCCCTGCTGGATCAGACCAGGGAGGGTCCATCCAGTCCAGCATCCCATCTCACACAGGGGCCAGCCAGTTCCTCTGGAGGGCCAGCAACAGGGCAGAGAGGCCAAGGCCTTCCCCTCATAAGGACATCAGAAGAGCCCTGCTGGATCAGACCAGGGAGGGTCCATCCAGTCCAGCATCCCATCTCACACAGGGGCCAGCCAGTTCCTCTGGAGGGCCAGCAACAGGGCAGAGAGGCCAAGGCCTTCCCCTCATAAGGACATCAGAAGAGCCCTGCTGGATCAGACCAGGGAGGGTCCATCTAGTCCAGCATCTTGTCTCACCCAGGGGCCAACCAGTTCCTCTGGAGAACCAGCAGCAGGTCCATAGAGGCTGAGGCCTTCCCCTGATGTTGCCTCCTGGGATTTAGAGGCTCAGTGTCTGATTGTGGAGGTTTTCCTCAGCCACCTGCGTAGCTTAATAAAATTTCCAAAGGCCCATCAGAACCCTTGTTGGGCAAAGAATTTCATTTTGCAGGTTTCTACAAGAACCCTTAATGTTCCACTTCCAAGTGGTTCGGGGTGTTTGTACCACACAAGCCCAGAATTTCAGTGTCCTGTTGAGACAGAGCCTCGTGCCAATGGCCTGTCGGTCAGCGGGGTCAGGCAGAGTCAAATGCGTCGAGGGAGGGGTCTTTGGGAGCGTTTCCTCCCCATCCCCTGCGTTTTCAGGGACAAGCAGTGTGTTGAACTGCTGTTCTGTTTATTCATACAAATATTTAGACCCTGCCTTTCCATGTGGTTCCAGGTGGCTAGCAAGCAATGCTCCCTCTAAGCCGTGGAGCCTTGTGAACAGTGTTCCCTCTAATCTGAGTTAGTGTGAGCTAGCTCACAGTTTCTTAGCCTCCGGCTCACACATTTTTGTCTTAGCTCAGGAAGGGATGGCTCCAGAGCAAACTAATTGATGCAGTAGCCAAATCGCTCGCTCACCACTTTAATGCTGGTAGCTCACAAAGTAGAACTTTTGCTCACAAGACTCCACAGCTTAGAGGGAACCCTGCTTGTGAGCAGAAATTCTACTTTGTGAGCGACTGGCATTCAAGTTGTGAGCGAGCGATTGGGCCGCTGCATCAACTAGTTTGCTCTGGAGCCATCTTTCATGCGCCAAGGCAAATATCTGTGAGCTGGAGGCTAAAGAACTGTGAGCTGGCTCACACTGACTCAGCTTAGAGGGAACGCTGCTTGCGATAATAATTGAGAACTGAGCGGAACGTCACCTCCGTGATTTGGCCTGAAACGCCAACCACAAGAGGCCCAAGCTGTGATGCTGGGGAAGAGGGATTTGATTTGGAGAGGGGACATCCAATGAAATTGGGGACAAAAGGGAAACGCTTCTTTTTTATTATTGTTAAGATTGTTAATGTTTTTTGCACACAAAAAAGTTAACATAGAAAACAAGCCCCATGTAGCCCAACAAATCTTCCTCCCTAATGTGTCCTATTAGCAGTGAAGGAAAGAGGGGGGGGGGGTGAATACTTGTACCTATTTGTGCAACGATCTCACCTTTATTCCCTGTTTAATGGAATCCATAATGTTTCACTCTTACTTTCCTAAGATGCTTCTTTACTTCATGAGTAGAGCCTCTGCTTGGCACGCAGAAGGTCCCAGGTTCAATCCCCAGCAGCATCTCCAGTTAAAAAGGACCAGGCAGGAGGTGGTGGGAAAGACCTCCGCCTGAGACCCTGGAGAGCTGTCAAGAGGGGCCGTGGCTCAGTGGCAGAGCCTCTGCTTGGCATGCAGGAGGTCCCAGGTTCAATCCCCAGCAGCATCTCCAGTTAAAAAGGACCAGGCGGGAGGGGAGGGGAGAGATCTCTGCCTGAGCCCCTGGAGAGCTGCTGCCAGTCTGAGTAGACAATACTGACTTTGATGGACCCAGGGTATGACTCCGTAACAGGCAGTTTCATGCTTTATGCTTTTTTATGAGTAATTAAACTGTGGACTTCACTGCCAGTGCAAGTAGCAATGGCCCGCAGGCATAGACGGCTTTAAGACGGGGTTAGGCGAATTCACAGAGAAAAGGCCCGTCTTTGGCAACCAGCCGTAGTGAGGGAAGGGAGCCTCCATGTTCAGCAGAAGTCAACCTGTGAACGCCAGTGCCAGGAAGAATTCTCCGGGAAGGGCTTCGGCCTCTCTGCCTTGTTTTGTTGGCCCTCCAGGGTATCTGTTTTGGCCCCTGTGTGAGACAGGATGCTGGACCCTCACTGGTCTGATCCAGCAGTCCCCTGAGTGGAGGAACCCCCCCTGGCCATGCACCCTTTGCTACGTCACTCTGCTGCAGTGTTCCCTCCAAGCTGACTGAGTGTGAGCTAGCTCACAGTTTTTTTAGCCTCCGGTTCACAGATTTTTGTCTTCGCTCAGTGAGGACGGCTCCAGTGCAAACTAATTCATGCAGGAGCCAAATCGCTCTCTCATAACTTTAATGCCGGTAGCTCACCAAGTAGAATTTTTGCTCACAAGACTCCACAGCTTAGAGGGAGCACGCGCTCTCCACCTTAACAATGCGGGAGCATCAACACTACTTGGAAAGCATCCGGGTCTTTGGCAGGGTGCCACTGGAGGAGTCGAAGGAATCGGGGGGGGGGTTGGGGGGGATGGTTTGCTCCTGCCTGTAAGAATGAATTGAATCCTTACCTGGCTCTCTGAGTCTGCCTTGAAAATATTGCTGTAACAAGCAGGGCAGGGGGGGTAACGCTTGTGACGGACCGTGCCAAAGAAAAAGGCAGATGGAGTGTAGAGACATAGGCTGGTCTTGTGCCGTGGCTTCCCCAGTAGGATCTTGGGATTTGTAGTTTGGCGAGGGTGCTGGGAATTCTCCGGGGGAGCCCTCGCAGGCATGTTCCTCTACACCGCCCCAGGAGTCTCCTGGGAATGAGAGAATGGCCGTCAGCCCAGTGTAGGTGAACCTAGAGTCCTCTCCTTCCATACTCCGAGGATCCTCGCTTCATCTGTGCCCTCATTTTTATTTTTTGCCGTTCTTTGCCAGAAAAGAGAACTGCTTCGATTGAGCATCCATTGCTTCGGTGGGCCAAAACAAACGTCAACAGAGTTTGGGAGCCGCTCGAAGCTTAGCAGTTTTATCCCGGCAAAAAATGCCGCCAGCCGCTCTGGGGTCCAATCCACTCAGCCCCGGCCTTGCTCGGGTGCCGATACCAGAGAAGCGCGGCCAGTGGCCAACGCCTGCCCCTCTTGGACGCAACAAGTTCTCCCTGGCGGCACGGCGAGTAGGAAACTTTGGGAAACGCCAGAGAATCTTTGGCTTGTCTTTAAGGCGCTGTTTTGGCAGGCCTCTGGACTCTCCCTAGGAGGGGGCTTTAAGAGGAAAACATCTGCTGCGGTCAGAGACAAGCTGGGAAGTGAACCTTCACCTTTCCGTCAAGTTGGCCGTCCTCTAACTTATTCCTAGAAAACCTGCTTGTCAAATCAGAGTTCTGGCGAGAGCCAGTGGGGGCGGACCGGAGGTCACGGAGTCCTCCCTTTCGCTGATAGAAAAAGTATTTTTAAAATCGGTCGAACTTGCTGCTTCGGGGCTAGAGTCTGGAAGCCACGTTGTGGGGGGGGGGTCTGTCCCACGGAGTCTCCGCTGCCGTTTGTCTTCCGGAACCTTCTCCCTGGTGGGCGGGGGGGGGAAATGGACCGTTGGCAGAGAGAGGGGAAAGGAAAAGTGGCGTGCCATGTTGGTATACTCTTGATGACAGATCCCAAACCCTGCAGGGCCTTCCTTGTAGAAAGTTCTCCCGGTTATCACTAGGCAATGAACCCGAGGGAATGTGTCTCACCGTATTGGGTGCGTGTGGCAATGAAAAGCGTAACTCTTTGCAAGAACGTGTGTGTGGGGGGGTGTTTCCGAGGGGAAACCCGTGAGTTCTGGAGCTCCTCTTGGGGATTCTGCAGTCACCTTGGTGATCGGGAAGAAGGTGAAGAATGCACAAAGAAGTCTTGGCTTCCTTGAGGAAGCATGCAGCGGCCAGTGAAGTTGGCAAGGCCTCTGGCCACCCTGCTCTTCATCAGTACGCCAGCTCAGATGCTCCAGTACCGAAATCCCCAAACGTTTTGAGCCTGTGGGCCCTTTTGGAATTCTGGCACAGCCACCAAATGGCTGCCTCGGGCGGTGGAGCCGACTCACAAAATGGCTGTCGCCGCTTACTTTCAGTCACACCATAGGCGTAATCTTCGTGGGGGCGGCGGGGCTTCAGCCCCCACCGAAATTTCCAGGAAGGTGCTCAGCCTCCCCCGGGGCCGCAGGGGTCTTTTGGCGCCAGAGCGCTCGCGCTCCTCTGGGCCAGCCCCGCCCCGCCCACCCTTTCCCCAGGAGGCAAAAAGTTCCCGCCGCTGCGCCGCTTTGCTAGTGGTCCCCGGGTGAGTC